CTAAGGAGACCTGCTTTTCATTTACAAACACAAAGGAGGAAAACAGAAGAAGAAATTTATTTTCTTAAAAAGAAAAAAGCACCCACGACTGATTCATTAATCTCTTACCACAGTTCTGTGCTGAGGGCTGGCAAAGAAGAAGTAAGGGAGACACTGGGGAGGGGATGGGGAGGAGAACCCTCTCCACTTGTTAGCATCTGCTGTGGGCGTCGGTGGGGGAGGCACGGGCCTGGGGCCGGCGAACTCAAGGCAGGTGACAAGCGGCTTCTCCGTCACCGGACAGGAGAATTGGCAGGGGCTCAGTGGGTCCTCCCCTCTCACTTGGCAGAAGAGGAAAAGGCTCAGAGCAGAGGGTGACGTTCCTGTGGCTACGCAGCAAGTTGACAGAGTCAGGATTTGAACCCTTGTCTCTTGCATTGTGGGAACTCGGATTTCTCATTCCTTCAACTGGACTTCAAGCTCATAAAAGGGAGCTGAAGACCTGGTTCCAAATCCCTTCGTGTTCTTTATTGGCAAGTGCTTGGCAAGGCTTACTAAAACTACCAGTGATCGATTATTTTGCTTGCCTGGACCCAAGGCTAGATTGAGGCCAGAAGCATATCTAGGTGAGAAGCTGAAGAGAGGGGGGCAACGGGGAGCGGTGGAGCCTCTGCTGAGGGGCCCAGAGCAGGCCGCCAGTCCAGGAACCCCCGAAGGGCTCTGGTGCCGGTCCTGATTCCGGAGCCCCGGCAGGCCGGCCTTGGCCAGTCCCTTTCTCTCCCTTGAGTGCCCATTTCCTCATCTGCGCCAGGGTTGGGTTCGGTGGTCCTGGGGTCTCGGACAGTTTCAGCGTTGTGGGTGGACGTCAGCATGCGTAGGACAAAAAGCAAGGCCCTCCCGCTAACAGGCACACCCTGCCCCGGTGGTCGGCCGTTGTTGCCTCTCCGGGTCTCAATTTCTGCAGCATCACAAACACTCACTACCAGTCTCAGGCCTGGGGTCCATGGGTGCCAGACCGACCCCCAGTGGAGACTGAGGAAGTACCCCCCTGCTATTCCAAGGTGGGCTGGCCTCCCACAGCCAAGCACCGAGCTATCCTCAGGAAAGCTCATTTTCTGCCACCAAGTTTATAACACATCCCCACCTACTGGTCTCCAACATTGCAAGCCTGTGTTGTGACGGAGGGCTCTGTGTGGCCAGAAAGAGGATGGGTGTGTGCGAGCCGGGGCGGGGGTGGGGCGGGGCGGAGCGGGGCGGGGCCAGCGCCATTCCTCACTCCAGCCCCGCGAGAGCTGTCCACGGCCCGGTGCTGATCCTGTCCTCCTGCTGCGTCCCTTCAGCCTCTCCGAGGAGCCCAGAGCTTAGGGGACCAGTGGGGTGGGAAAGCGTGGACACGACCTGGGGGAGAAACTCAAGGTTGCCAGGCTGGTGACCACAAAGGTGAGGACACATGCACCTGACCTCATGCATCAGAGCACCATGGGGCACTGCACCCATATCCTACGGAGATGTGCTGTAACACGTCATCCTGGACATGTGTGTCCTGTGTGTGCCGCTCAAGGGGTGTGGCACAGCCTTGCCCCATCCCAGCCCATCGCTCTCTTCCTGGTGTCTCTGCCTCTCTCCTCCCCTACCCCTTTACAATGGACACTGGGAGGGCCCCCCAATATATAAAGTTGTCTTCCCACCCACGCATTTCTTCCCAGCCCTGCTCTGTGTCCAACACTAAGGAGCAGGGCAAAAACCAGGAGGACATGACTTAAATGCAAGTGTGTGAGGATCACGCATAAATAAGGTCATGCACCCTTCACATGTGGGCACTGCAGCCCATGAGGAGGGCTGCCTAGGCAGCAGGAAGGGCCCAGGTAGCACTGGAAAGATAAATTCCTTCTGTTGGAGGGATGGGGGCTGCTGGTGAGAAGCTAAGGAGTAATCTAGGCAGGTTCCCTGGAGGAGATGATGTTTGAGTTGGGCTTTGAAAGCCAGGTAAGAATTTCTGGAGGCAGGGTATTCCACATGGAGGGGCTGTCAGGGGCAAAAGCAGAAAGACAGGCAGGTGAGAAGAGGATTCTCTCATACGATGCTTGGAGGCTGGAGGGAGGGCTGTACCACAGAAGTGAAGAGGCAACTTGATACCAAATCATAAAGGGCCTCGGATGCTGGGGGGTTGGGGCAAGGGGTGTTAGTTCTGATCCTACAGGCAGTGAGGGGCCAGTGAAGGGTGCTGAATAGGGGGCTGACAAAACCAACTCTCCGCAGATTCAACCACCCCCTGCCCCCCCGCCAAACCCCTGTTCCAACTAAAAGTGGGGCAGACGGCCTCCTCAAAGACCAGATGCAGGGAAGCTGCTCCCTCAGCTCTTCTTGGCTGGAAGGCTCGAGACTGGGCACGGGGCAAGGGCTCTCACCCCGCAGGCGGAGCTGGCCCCCAGCGGGCAGTGGGGCTCTGGGCCCACCGGGCAGCACTGGCAGGCAGTGAGGAGGGGAGGGACGGGCCACAGGCCACACTGCTGGTGGAAGACGGGGAACATGAGGGAGGCAGGCCAAGGTCACCCTGCCCCTTGGCACCAGAGTTAGACACAAATCCAGGCTATTTGGCTCCCATTCTGGCTGTGTGGTCAGACCCTTTGGCCTTTATAGCCTGTGAGACACAGGAAAAGGCAGCTGCTCCCACACCCCAGCATCTCTGAAGAGCCCAGAACGCCCAGCCAAGAGTTAGCTTGAATTGCGAGTACATCCATATGCCCTTTTCCTGGAGAGAGGGGCGGGTTGGGTGGGTGGGTGCTAGGCAGCCCTGGAAGGGAAAGGCCTCTGGGAAATGGGGTGTGGGAGGGAAGAGCTTCAGTGACTCTGGCTCTATCTATTGGGGGGTGGTCCCCAAGCTTTAAGAATCTGTCAGTGTTCTTCCTTGAGGAAGGAGAGACTGAGGCATGGGATGGGGTGTTCAGGGAAGGAGCTTGGAAAAGGGGCCAGATGAACAATCAGGAGGGGAAGATGCTTGCTCAGTGGGGGACCCCTACCCCACCTCCTCAAATAGCTTTTTACTGATCACCAGCTGACCCCGGGCCAGGCGTATACCAGGTGCTGGCTGGGTGGAAGGACGGGGGCGAACCGGCCCGCGGTTCTGCCACCTCAGCTCCAGGACCAGCAGGGCACAGAGCGGAGACGGCATCTAAGGAGAAACCGAGGCAGACTGCTAGCAGCGCAGGAGAAGCCGGGCCAGGGCGGCGAACCCGCACGGGCTGGGTCCTAGGAAGCAAGGCAGGGCCCTGGCAGGTGAGGGAGGGGAAAGGCTCTTTAATAACAGGCTGAGGACTCGGGAAGGCAGGCAGTGGGAACCAAGGAAGAGCCTCTGAGCTCCCTGGAGGTGGGGTCACGACAAGCTTTCAGAAGGACACTCCGGCACTGAGACGCAGAAGTGGGGCAGAACCACGCCTAGACCCAGGCCTGAGCTCCGTTTCCTCCTGCCAGATGCCCAAGCCCCCCCCAGACCTAGAGCCCACCTCCCCAGCCCCTCCCCACCCTCAGTCTTGCATATGGAGCTGAGACGTCTGCTCCCTAGTGGCACACGCAGTCGCCCCCTCCCCTCCAAATGCTGTCCTGCCCATTCTTCTGATGAAGAGCTGAGGTTGGCTGCGTCTGGGGAACTGAAGGCAAAGCAGCTCCCGGCATGGAAGGAGCAATCGCCCCGCAGGGGGAGGCCAACCTGTTCCCCATCCCCTCCAGGCGCCAGGACCCTAGATTCCCAGAGCCACTCCTTTCCTTCCGCTCTCAACCTTGAGAACGGCGGCGCCTTGGTCTGGGTGAGAGGCTGCCTGTTAGGGACCTTGGGCGCCCTCACCGGGAGCTCAGGCAGGGTCCTCGGGACAGGGCAGATGTGGGCTACAGAGGAGCACGACGCCACGAGGGTCTTCCTCTACTGCGGAGGGCCCAGTGCCCCCTCCTTCTAAGCGTCTCTAGCCTGTCTAGGGTCCCCCCTCAGCAGAGGCAACGAAGCCCCCATCCCACTCCCCGCTGGTTAGGGAAACGCGTCCCAGGCTCGTTGGTTTCTTGTCGGGAGGAAGAAGAGAGCCTCTCTTCTCCGTCCTCCTCCCTCTCCAGCTCTCTCCCGCCCCTTCGGTCTGCGCCCCTCGCCTCCTGGAGCGCCTCCAGCTTGCGGAAGGCCCGCTGCAGCCTCCTCCCGTCGGATCTGAGTTCTCATTCTTGGGGGTTTGTTTAGAGACCCTCTGTCCCCCCCCTACCCGTATCCCTGCTGCCCCTCTGCCAAAGCGCGCCAACCCGGCCCCTCCCTCTCCCGTACTCGTTACGGCGGAGCCCCGGGCGAGCCTGGGGAGCAGACGCAACAGATTGCAGAAAGCGAGAGCGCGGAGCCCGCTCGCTCCGCGCGCCGCCCGCCGCCCCGGCCTGCGCGGGTTTTCTCTGCCCCCCGCCCCCCGGCTCGGCTAAGCCGGCCATTTAGATGCAGCTCACAGGACGGCGGGTGGGCGAGCCGCCGCGGCTCCCCGGGCCCTTGCCAGTCCACTTCCTCTCTCCGGGACCGCCGCAGGAAGCGAGGCGGCGGGCGGCGCGGTCCCGCACCGGCCTGCGAGCCGGCAGCGAGGGAAGGCAGGGTCCCCGAGGACCCCCGCAGCCCCCAGCCCCGAGGGCTGCGGGGGAGGGGTTGACAGGAGGGTCGGCCCAGACACTATCTATAGATCCCCAGATCCCTATAGATTTCCGTGGGTGGACACGCCCCCGGACACTCGGGTTTGGACCCTTCTTACTAACCAGGGGAAAATTGGAGTGATTCCACTACCCCCTTTTTCCTGGGCCGGGCTCAGTCCCCAGGGCGGGGCTCGAATCCTCCGCTCCCGCCAACGAGCTGGGGGGCTGGAGGGAACTCGAACTGCAGCCCGAGATGCCAAGCTAGGAGCGGCGGCTGCGAGTCCGCGGATGGGGGTCCGCCTTTCCCCAGTCTCCTCTGTGCCCCACCAGGGGCGACCGCCGCATCTTCATTCCCGAGTCCGCGCCGCGACACTTACCGTGGGCGAGCAGCGCTGAAAGGCAAAGCAGGGCGGCGCCGCCGCGGCCCGACATCCTTGGGGCCATGGCCAAGGCGGGAGCGGGTGGTGGCCGAGGGGGCAACAGTGGACGACGACTCAGCCCCCAGTCTGGGCTTGGTCACATCCAACTCAGGGTGGCCGCGGCGCCCCGCTGTCTCTGCTGAGGCTCTGGGGGCCAGGCAGTGCAATTCGGGGACAGTTTGAGGGGAGGGGGCGTCCCAGGCGCCGCCGGCTACACCCTGGGAGCCGGTGGGGGCGCAGCTAGCGGCGGGAGGAGCCTTCACCTCCCCGGCTGGTGCCCCCTGCAGGATCTGTGCGGCCAGGGGGGAGCCGCACGTGCGGTCCCGGGGCCGGCGGCCACCGGCTTCTCGGGGGCTACCTAGAACCAAGTGCCAGGTCCCCCAGCCCGGAGGCCCAGTTCGAATCCAAACTCGCTCGAGGGTGCAGATTTCCAACACAAGCCCCAATTTCTTCGGTTTCGGCAGTAAGCCCACATGGATAGCGCGGATTCCTTCCTCCAAGCGCCCTGCAGCAGCTCCAGCATGAAATTCCCCAGGTTAGGTGCAAATGAATGATTTCTTTCGCAAAGAAAGAGAAAATCCGGGCAACTTTAATCCATCTGGAGAAGGAAAAGTTTCCGTGCAGTGCTGAGGCCGGCGATGCTGGTCGCCACCACCCTACGCGACGCGGGGACCAAATGCCCGAGGCGGGGGGCCAGCGGCTGGTGCCCTCGCAGAGCTCGAGGCTGGGTTCCAGCTCGCTCTCTCCAGTCTCGGCCAGGGCCCGGGCTGCACACAGGCTGGCTCAGCGCCGCCGGCCCGGGCCGCGGCTCCGCGGCTGGGGCGAAGGTGGCGCGGCCAGAACGGGCTGCCCCATCAAGATGGGGCTTGGAGAAGCGAGGGAGATGTGATGCTGGCCAATGGCCTGACCCGAGCCCTGCCTGCCTGGGGCGGTGACTCCAGTCTCTTGGTCGTAAACGTAGTAGGATGGAGAGGGACTCCGCCAGCCCGCGGCAGCTCCCGGCCGCCCCCCTCTGCTCCCGGGTCTCGCTGTCTCAGCAAAGGGGCGCACTGCTCAGCCTCGCTCCTCGCCTTCCCCGGGGAGACCTGCACAAACCTTGAACTTTTCCGGGTTTCAGAATCTCCGACGTCTCCTTCTCCCCAAAACCCCCACCCTGCCCTCGGACGCCCGATCGCCCGCTGTCTCTGTGCAACCGGGCATCGGCGCTCTCCCTCGCGGAGTCAGTTGGGGCGAGCGTAGCGCAGCGCCAGCCCGGGCTGCGGGCGGCGAGACCTGGGCGCCGCGCCAGGGGCCGGGGCACCCGGCGCCCGCGCAGCCCGCGGCCAGGGAGGCGGTAGCTGGTATCTACGGGGCCGAGCGGAGAGGAGGTGCCGGCAGGGAGGCCGGCTTCCCATGGACGTGTGTGTGGGGAGAAGAATCAAGGAGCAAAAAAGGAAGAGGAGGTGGGGGGAGCCACAGTTGCGCGAAGCAGCCGCCGCCGCCTCGGCGCGAGCGCCGGCTGCTTCGCCGTAAATGACTCGAGAGAGACACACACTCGCGCTCTCTCGCCCGCCCGCCCTCCTCCCCCGTCCGGGATTCAGAGCCCACCCTGACAGAAGCGGGCGCCTAGCCTGGCGCGCTCGCCTCCCTCCTCCTCCCAGGTTGCCTGTGGTCACGTGGCCCCGGAGCGCGCGGCCCACGACTCGCGCACCACGGAGACCCCCCCACCGCCAGTTCCCCCTCCCCTGTCCACGTGTCCATTCCGCATTCCCAGCCTGGGGGCGCGCGCGGCTCCTTAATGAGACTCCAGCAAGGGCCGACCTCGCGATTCCGCTCGCTCCTGTTTTATGTTTTATTTTTTTTCTCCCCAGTGCAGGCTAGCGCTGGGGCCCGAGTGGGGCCGACTGCGGCGGCTGCATTTCCCTCGGGTAGAAGCCACTGTAGCCACCGATGTCCTTTTTTAAAGGATGCACGCTCCCAGCCGGGCGCCGGAGGTGTTTCACAGCCGCTCTGCCAGAGGCGCGGGTAGGGGGCACCCTACCCCCACCCCCAGAGTCTGCGTGGGGCTTTCGGGGGACACTGGATGAGGATCAGCCGAGCAGCCGCGCCCAGTCCCACTCGGGCTGCCCCGGAGCTCGCTGGCTCAGCTTCGTTCGGAGATGGATCGTGGGGCGCAGCTAGGGGAAACGGGTCCGCTGGGGAATGGGGTGGGCGGAGAGGGGTGTAGGGACGTGCCTTCCTACAGGTTGTTTTGCAAGCCCTTATGGGGACATGAGGTGGGGGTGGGGACTGCCCCTCTGGTACACTTACCCATGCACCTGCTGACGGGGGGGTGGGAAGGGGGTGGGGTGGCGTTTTTTCCCACCGTCAGGCCCGTTCCATTAGAGCGCAACCCAGATCAGACCCGACAAGTCAACTGTCAAAACGTCAGCCAGGCAGTGGATCAATGGCAATGATTTTATAGCATCGCTGGGTATCATGCTCCTGCCTCCAGGGGCCGGGTCTCAGTCCCACTCTCCTGGGAAGGGACAGAGTCTTCAATCCTATGGACAGAGCTCTTATGGGGTGGGAGTCGGGGGCTGAGGTTCTTGTGGATACACACTCAGCCAGACAGAGTGCTGGTGAGGTAGGTCAGAGCCAGGCCAGCTGGGGTGCTCGGTCTCTGTCCCCCATCTGCCTGACTGGGTCCTAGACTTCCTGACCCTGTGAGTTTCCTGTTCATCCAGGAAAGTGACATTTTCTTTTTGGAAAATGGGCTTGGGCGGTTCCTGGAAGCCTCCCTCCTCCCTGGCTCTGGGCTGTGGCTGCCTGTGCTCCTACTGGGGCGTGGGGAGAGCTGAGCTCGGCTTTTTCCCCTCCCCCACGCCACATCTGTCTGAAGCTCCGGGGTGCTGTGCGCAGAGGGCTGGCCGGCTCTTGGAGGCCCTGGGGATAGAAGGTGCTGGAGTCGTCAAGGAAGATGATTCTCATTAGGCTCCTAATGCCTGATGGCAATTAATGTCACCCTTGGGCTTATTAACCATCCCAGCTAGAGGCAAGCTAGCAGTCGGGCTGTGTGTGGGCAAAGCCACCTCCTGAGAGAAGGGGGGCTCTTGAGGAGGAGGAGGGAGGAAGCAGGTAGGTCTCCCACCCCCGTCCACCCCTCCCCCAGTGGAAGGGACGCAGGGCTTGTCAAAAGGGAGTCCAGAAGCTAAGAGAAGAGAGACACGACTTCATGTTTCTGAGCTGAGGACCCACTGCCCCAGTGAGGGAGACCAAGCTCCCCTTCTCCCCAGATGTTGGCAGCTGACAGGTCAGCAATTTCAGCCCCAGGCCTTTCTGGAAACTGAGCACAGCGTTCTGGTTCTCCTTTCTACCTGCCCACCCTCCCTGCTCTTAGGTGTTTAAAAAAAAAAAAAAAAGAGTCTTCCTTTACCCACTCAGGCTTCCCCCTTCCCTCCCCCCTTTCTCTCTCCATCCCTTTCCCAGCAATATGGTGCATATCTCCAACACTGTAGGCACAAGAATGAGCAAGGCAGACCCAGCCTGTCCTCATGGAACTTACATTCCAGAAGCAAAGACACATACTAAGCTTATAGTTGGTTACAATTGTGTCAAGTTAAGTAGCATTATGCCTTTTTGTTTATCTTATGGAGGGCACTGAGGCCCAGGGTCACAGAGGTTTGCGGCGGGGGGGGGGGGGTGGATGGTATGCAGCCTGCTCTCTTTAGAGAATGTTCATGTTAGCCCCAGGTTCTTCTAGCACCTCCTACGTGGATCTGCACTTCATGGAGGCGGAGGCCTCTGCCAGGCCTGTGTGCCTGATCATCCTGTGGGCCTCCAAAAGCCAGGCCTCTCTCTCTGTCCCAGGGCAATGGAGGTTCTGCCGACCCCTCCCCAACAGGTGCCTGGGAATTAAAGGCTCGGGCTCCTCCAACTCCAGTGCCCCATGCACCTATTACTCCTGGCAGTGCCAGGTCTAAGGCTCATGGAGAAAAAAGTTGGCATGAGGAAGACATAGCCACCTGTCCCAGTTATTCCAGGCTTACACGTCTTTGACCTCAAAAGGAGCTCATACCTTACCGGGGTGCCTTTGCTACCACGTGCACAGGCTGCCCTGCCTGCACCCACGAGGCCCAGTCGTGGCTCCCGACAGGCACTGCCTGCTCGAACCTGGATGGAGGGCCAGAGGAGCAGCCCAGGGGAGCCCGGGCGAGAGAGAGGGCTTGGCACGTGTGCGTTCTTGGGTCGCGCATGAGCACCTTTTTCAGGAAGGTGGGGGCACCTCCTTTCTGCTGTTTCCATTTTGTTCAGGGTCAGGAGCCTTTCTTGATAGAGAACGGGCGGTGGCTGGGGGTTTCCTGGATCCTCAGCTCCTGGGTGGGGACTGCCAGGCAGCCGGGCAGGAAGTGAGCTCTGGGTCAGGCCCCCGTGCCCTGCATGGATGCCCATCAAGGGCCCATTCAGAAACAGCTGACCTCCGCTTCCTCCTCTGCCTCACTCGCCGCCACGGTGGGTGTGGTGACACCTATCCTGCCAGCACGCCCCTGGTTTTCAGGATGCCTGCCATCAGGCGAAGAGAGGACAGACCAGTGTGGGGCTTTATGAAGGGAACCTAACCATTCGGGGGGATCTTGACATCCCCCAGGAATTCTAGTCTGGCGGGGCTGGAGAGGGGCTCAGAGATTTCCTAAGCCAGTCCTCTCGTTTTATAGCTGCAAAAACATGCCTGTTAATTCGGTCATTTCATTAAATACTTTGGCTTTTTAAAAATTGAACTTATTGGGATGACATTGGTTAATACAATTATAAAGGTTTCAGGGACCCAATTCTATAATGTATCATGTATATTGTACCGTGTGCGTTCACCACCCCAGGTCACGTCTCCTTCCATCACCATTTATCCCCCTTTTCCTCTCTCCTACCTCCCCTCCTTCCCCCACTGCCCCTCTGGTAACCACCATACTGATGTCTGTCCGTGAGGGGTTTTTTTTTTTCCTTAGTCTCTTTGCTTTTTAACCCAGCCCCCTCCCTCCTCCCCTCTGGCAGCTGCCAGCCTGTTCTTTGTATCTATGAGTCTGTTTCTGTTTTGTTAATTTATTTTGTTCATTCGATTCCACATGTAAGTGAAATCATATGGCATTTGTCTTTCTCTGACTGCCTTATTTCATTTAGCATAATAATCTCCGGGGCCATGCATGTTTTCGCAAAGGGTAGAATTCCCTTCTTTTTTTACGGCTGAGTAGTATTCCATGGTGTAAATGTCCCATAAGTGTTGTATCCACTCATCTACTGATGCACACTTGGGCCACTTCCAAATCTTGGCTATTGTAAATAACGCTGCAATGAACCCAGGGGTGCTTATATTCTTTCGAATTAATGTTTCAGGTTTCTTCGGATATATTCCCAGAAGTGGTACTCCTGGATCATAAGACAGATCTATTTTTAACTTTTGGAGATAACTTCATACTGGTTTCCACAGTGGCTGCACCAATCTGCATTCCCACCAACAGTGCACGAGGGTTCCCTCTTCTCACATTCTTGCCAGCACTTGTTATTTGTCAATTTGCTGATAATAGCCATCCTGACAGGTGTGAGGTGGTATCTCATTGTGGTCTTAATATGCATCTCTCTGATGATCAGTGACGTTTAGCATCTTTTCATTCAGCTGTTGGACGTCTGTATGCCCTCTTTGGAGAAGTGTCTATTTGGGTCCTTTGCCCATTTTTAAAAATCAGATTGTTTGGTTTTTGGTGTTGAGTTTTATAAGTTGTTTATAAATATTGGATATTAACCCCTTACCACATGTATCATTGGTGAATATGGTCTCCCATTCAGTGGGCTGTCTTTTCATTTCATTGATGGTTTCCTTTGCTGTGCAAAAAATTTTTAGTTTGACGTAGTCCCATTTGGTTTTTTGTTTGTTTGTTTGTTTTCCTTGAGGAGATATATCAGAGAAAATGTTGCTACAAAAAAATGCCCAAGATTTTACTGCCTATATTTTCTTCTAGCATTTTTATGGTTTCGAGTCTTACATTTAAGTCTTTAGTCCATTTTGAGTTTATTCTTATGTACAGTGTGAGAAGGGCGTCTAGTTTCATTTCTTTGGTGTATATCTGTCCAGTTTTCCCAATACCACTTATCGAATAGACTTTCTTTACTCCATTGTATGTTCTTGCCTCCCTTGTCAAGTATTAATTGACTATAAAGGTGTAAGTTTATTTCTGGGCTCTCTATTTTGTTCCGTTGATCTAGATGTCTATCTTTATGTTAACACCATGCTGTTTTGATTACTATGGACTTGTAGTATAGTTTGATATCAGATAATGTGATTTCTCCAACTTTGTTCTTCTTCCTCAAGATTGCTGTGGCTACTCAAGGTCTTT